AAGCAAGTTAATCAAATACAGTTCCTTGTTTCTGCCAGGGAAACATGGCTACATATGGGCCAACGGTACAGATTAATCGAGTTTAGACCAAACGTACCGCCTCGGTCGATAATGTACCACATTTTTTCGCACAAAATTTTACCACAAAAGAAAGAAATCTGAAACACGACTACATGGATCGCCACTTCAGTGTGTGACACTATGATACAGGAAGTAACCGTCTGTGTGCTGACGCTTTAAGTGATTAGTGCGTTTTATTTAAAATAACAATAAAGGTTGTTTTGTAGGTCATGTGGACAACAAGCTAATTTTTTTCTAGTCCCTGTCTTCTTTTGTTCCTCCACTGTTGTGTCTCACCACAGGTCCCCCCGTTCTTGTCCTCCAACATTTCCCACTAGGTTAAGTACCTCCTCCTCCAGTAATCTGTTCCACCGGGTTCTTGTTAGTCACACCCCCTTGTTATTAATGCCAGTGGTTGTTCCGGAAGTGTTACCTTACTTTTTTAACTTCAGACATTAAAATGTACTTTTCATTACATAAACAACGTTGAGACAGCAGTGATTGTCGTTTGGGTCTTCCATGTCGTTGGGTTCCTGTTGGACAATCCAACGCAGGCAGTGACTCAACGACATCAGCCTACCAACAATCTCTGTCTATTTTGTCTGTTCATCTCTTTGTGTCCACATGTAAATAACACACATAATATTCTACACAAGAAGGTCAAGAAGTGACAACTGAAGAAACAGGAAACGTCTACAACACGAATACAGACGAATGTGTGACTGAAATCAGGAAACAGAGGACAGGACAACGTCCTATTTCCTATTTCTGATCTATGGTCCTATGGACATTCATGTCCTTCAGGTGGTGAAGTCCACTCTCCAGCCATAATAACGAGTGTTTAAAGAGAGTATGCCACAGTGTGGAACCACTGAAGGCCAGGCAGCAGCTCTGGTCTTCCAGAGGACACATTAGTTCCCTTCCTCTCATGTTTATCTAATTTACAACTTGTCTCTCTGGATCGTCCCCTCTGTCTTTTTAGGCCATGCTTGACCCTGAACACAGTCATGGAGTTAAATGGTAATCTGCTCATCAGGCTCCGTGTTTTAAAGATGAAGCCAGCCATGTGTGCCAGCTTGTGTCCTCTCCTTATGTCCTAATGCCTGAAGTGTCAAAGGTGGAAGCAAGGGGTCAGAGTTCAGGTCTGGTCAAAGGTTATATTTGACAATAAAGGTTTTATCCCAGTTCTCTTCAAAGTTTTCCCCTGTGTTTGTTTTATCTCATAGACCAATTTCACCTTTAGTATTTCTTTGTTTTTCCTTCATTTAAAAATAAAAATTTCAATTTAGTGGAATCCAAAAAATGCATCTTTTCTACATTTTCTAGGATTCCTGCATTGTCTTCATAACCCGTTATACTCAACACAAATGTAGGTCATGATTAATGTAAATAATATATTATATCTACAGACAAAATCCAAAGAGGTGGTTCTCAACATATGGTATGCATACCATCACTGGTACATGTGCCCCTTTTTTTATAAACCGCAATGGAAAAACAGTGGAGGTATAAAAAAAAGGACTCAAACCAACTGCATTCACTGCACTCACTTCTCTCATGGCAGTGAGAGAACATTGTAGTAAGTCAAAAGGTCTCTCATATTAATATCCAGAACAGGCCACTGCAGCGACTCAGACAAGTTGGTCAAGTGTTGAGTTGTGTAATGTTTGAATCGATCAGGTTTTTTGTTGGTCAAGTGTTGAGTTGTGTAATGTGTTAATCAATCAGGTTTTCAACCTCAAAAATGAGTCAGGTTTTTTCAATTTTAAAATAACACAAGTATCAAATATTTAACTTGAATGTAAAAATGAATGAATTTTAATAACGTGTATTGATCAGGCTGTGACCTGGTGTCAAAGACCCTCCTCAGAATTCTACAAAGAAGCAAATATTTGATGGATACACCGCAGAAATACGTTGTTTTATTGTCATTAATGAAGACTGTTTCACTTGTCTTAATAAAATCACTGGTGTTGTTGTGACCCCAGGTTCATTAAGACACACCACCGCAAATAAACCCCTCCACCTTAGACAAATGTTTTGCCTGATTCATATTTTTGTTGAGCAGAGGAAACTTCAGAGATATTTCGAAACACACACAGAGGTTCTTTCGAGGACCACTGCCTTCAAAGCTGCAGCCACTAATGGCAAACACATTACACAACACTACAAAAGCATCTATTCATAAGGTGGAGACAAAAATCTCTGTGGGCTAACATCTGCAACCTCCAGGTCCTGCGCACAGCACACGATCACATGATCACACAGGCATCCCATCATCCAATCACTGAGCCTCATCACATTCAACTGCACAAATGAAAGTTGAATCTGCGTGAACCCCTGTTCTCATTTAGAGTTGTAGTGGTTGACACAATTCACTGCAGGCCACGGTCTGTATCTCTGTGTGTGTGTGTGTGTGTGTGTTGGCTGGGTGTAGGGCTAATGGGTGGGGGTCAGGGTGGAGCCACCAAGTCTAAGCCAGCGTACACAGAGAGGGGTTGTTGGGCTGAGAGTTGATTTTCTCGCCTTTAAATCACTGAGGGCTCGTCAGCACACCACGGTCAACCACAGCTATGATCACTCTCACAAATATGACCGTCTTCGCCGGAAGACGACAATGTCACCAGTTTGATAAACTCTGTCAGTTCTTGTCCCTTTTTAAGTTGAGTGGGTTATTAATGAGTTCATTAGACAATCGATCAATTAAACAGAGAAAATTCTTTTTGAAAAGCGTTTCTCAAACTTTAGAAATTTGTCCTGAAATATTTAGTTTCATCCACAAACCAAAGGTATTCAGCGTACGGTCATAAACCAACACGACCCCAGAAAGTCATAGATTCACATAAGCTACAGTCAAATCAGTCAAATGTATCTCTTTTTTTAAAATCTCCTAATCCTTTAGATTTGAAGAGGAATGTGGAACATAGAAATGTTTTAATCTTCTAATACTGGACAAATGATTGCAGCTTAGAAGTTTTTAGATTGAACACAGTGGCAAATCACCCAAAAGACAAGCAACCAGATGTGATGTAAACAACCCAACAATTCACTGGAGCTGCAGTGACCACGGAAATCAGGATTCCGAGTCAGGAACAGAATCGCAAACGCTTTATTGATCCCCTGGGTGTTGGAGGTGGGGAGGGGGATTGACAATATGTTACAGCTGCAAGAGGAAGACAGGGTGAACGGCAAAATATGAACAAGGATGTCCACCGTGTCAGACATCATGCCCATGTGGGGTGAGCATATGTTCAACCTAGCTACATACCAGATGGACTGACAAACTGTGTGGCCCACAAATGGCTACTGGAGATGTAATACTGAACTATTTGGGTAACGTAATAGCGGGAATAAGTCAATGCCATCACAGACTCACCCTCACAGACTCCCCAACTCCCCCCAATGAAAAGAGGGGGACAAGGGTAAAGTGAGGGCTGACGGGCTGAGCATACGTCACTTCTCATTTCACTGCTGTTTTGTGGTCTGACATTCTGTGGACAACGACATTCTTTTAATTGCTGTGACTAACAAGCCAGCGGACGTCCACTGTTTCACTCATCTTCTATCACCAGGGAGGATGGAGCAAATCCCAGCAGTCCTTAGGGGAAGGTGGGGTCACACCCTGGGCAGTTAACCAGTCCATCACAGGACGACATACAGAGACAAACAACCACCTCTGATCACTCCTGTGATCAGCCGAGTGTGAACACTGAGCCTAATCCTTCATATTTTGGTCTGTGTAAGGAAACAGGAGAAAACTCTGCACAGAAAGACCAACAGTTACCACTGGGATTGAGCCATAATCTTTTATTTGTAAAGCAAGTGCACTAACCACTCCACCACCATTTGTCCCTTTATAGACTCATTTGTTCATGTTTTCTCACTCTCTGTTAGCGACGTCTCCTGAAGTTAATTTCCTAGCCCTGCTGTTATCATGGCTTCCTGCCTCTCACACTGAATTACTGTTTTTCTTCTATTTTCACCTCTGCCTCCTGAAGTGAGAGAAAATACCGCTGCAGCAAAAGCACTAATACAGCTTGTAAATGGTCTGTATTTAAACAACTGACCTGAACAGAAATACAGTTAAATCTGCTTTTGAAAAAGTAAGTGTATAAAATAAAACACAAAATCCTGGAAATTGTTTTGCAGTGCTTTCACAGCAGTGATTCACATGCAATAACAAGGTAAAAAAAAAAGTACTTTTACTCCCTGTGAGCTGTGATGTGAAAACCATGTCAAACGTGATGTTCTTAATGGAGCGGGTTTGAAAAAAAAAAGAATATGGAAGACCAGATATTTAGGATTACCAACTTCAGATTGGGAAATAAATCAATTCTGTTCGTTGTTTTGTTTAGTGGTTTCTGCATTCCTACAAGTCAACGTGTCAGCCATGTTTTCAAAAACACCAAGATCTCAGGGTCCGCCAAAGACAGGACAGTGACAACACAAAGTCCACTTCAACTTTAAAAACATGCTGTAGATGACAGTCAACAATAAATAAAAAAATAAAAAATGACTTCCATAAATGGCCATGATAATCAGTTCTTAGTTGCTTTGTTAATTTCCCCGACTGAAACAGTCATTCTGCACAAGACTCAATTAAATCTCAACAAAACTAAACATCAGACTGGTGTCGACCAGTAGGACTTTGACAGCTGAACATGTCTGTGTACTCCTGTACTCCATGTAGTACACTTTAAAGGATTACCTTGACTGTTTTGACCAGCACCATAACAAGCAGCTGGTCATTTAAACGCATCACAACCTCTTATCAACACTGACCTCTTATCTTCATTCCACATATCTAAACTACACTTCTCCAAATAGGACAAAGTGTCCGAGTGTCCAGTCCGACCTCGGTGGACAGTAAACAAGATGTGGTACAACATAAGGTGAACAACACCCTTAAATATGAACTCATAAAGCCCGGGTCTCTCTACCTTTCTCGGTGTGCTGCACTGCGCTGGCGCTGACGCTGCTGTGGAGTCTCCGGCAGCCAGGATGCGGACTGGGAGGTTTGTGCAGGCAAAGGTAAAGAGGAGGAAGGAGCAGAGAGGTGGGGGGGCCGAGGGGGGGGGTTGGGGGGGGGGGGGGGTTAGGTCTCCTCTGGCAGCAGATCCAGCGAACAGCTCCTCTGAGAAGAAGAAAAAAAAATTAAACGATGTGTGGACATCAGGGAGCAGGAGCTCTCACTCCTCCTGGGTTCTCTACTGATGCGGAGAGTCAGCGCGAGGCGGACCTAGCTTATCTGGTGCCGAGGGCAACCACGGCCCCTTCCCCTGTTTGTATCTGTAGGGTTAAAAAAAACAGATACAGAAATAAAGAAACAGGAAGAAGTAATAATAAAACAAATGTGTAAATGATGATATTTATAAAGTTAAAATAAGACCAGATATAACAGGACCAGATACTTTTTCTGACCCTCTAATAACGACTGATTTTTAAATAATTCTCTGGTTTCATTTTGTCTGTTTTTTTTTTCAAACTAATGTCAGCTAATATTCAAAGAAATGTCTTATTGTAACTATAATTGTATTGAATATTATTGAAAACCCAGTTAGCTTTCTGTGTGCTTCACCCTTCCATCCTCACGACCACATTGATTTCTTAGAACTTGTTAGGAAAATGACAACATTACAGTTTGAATGTTAGCCCTGACACACCTTCTGTTCTCTGTCAGTGAAGACGACATTTTCAGGTTTACCTCACGTTACAGTACTGCTGTGGGAACCCACCAAACCTGGGGTAGTTTGGGGTGTTATGTCCCCCATTGTCTGTAGAGCCTTCCCACCCATTTCAACCGACTGCTCAATAGAGAACAAACCACTTTCCCCATCTTGTGCTCCTTAACATGTGGCCTGCTGCTGACATGCAGTGATGATTTAGAACAGTCCCCACTGAGCCTAATGATCTGCTTCCTCACGCTGTCAGCTCTATAAAACATTATTAAAGTTCCTCCACACTACGTCTGGTCTAATGTGATGCTTACTCTCACTTTTTGTTTACCAATATGTCCAAGCCCTGTTCAGATCTGTCTGTCTAAAAGCTACTTTTCCATTTGGTTTGATGCAGCGAGTACACCTACTTATTCAAATCCAGACTTCAAAGTGAGACATCCAACGTAATTGTGCGGTTATTGAAGTGTGCTGTGTGAGGTTCACACGCATTCATTAAATGTTCGCATAGTAAGCAAAAAAAAAAAAAAAGTATCCCATTAAGGACGCAGGTCCCTTTAAAAGTTTATGTACGCCAATGAAAAGGATAATAAAGTCATTGCTCTTCACCCTTCCACAGTCTGCCCCAACGTGATAAAGCCACAAAAAACTGGGAGAAAAACACTTATTAAATAATTAAATGAAAGCACCTTTTGGGTTCAAGAAAGTAAAAACTAAAACAGCAGTTTTGAAAACTGCACATGACTTTCACATTTTTTCTGTATTGTTCTGAAAAGTTCCAGAAAGAGTCCATCTTTAACTCTAATCAGGAACAGTTCTACTGTTGGCTCTTGGGCTGCTCCCCTTTCAGACAAACCGCATTCTTTTGAGGCATTCTGCAATAACTTCACCCAAGAATGTATAGTCAGTGTCTCTGTGCTCATCTATTGACCCTTCCCTCTCAATCCATTTACTATATTTCTTATCTTTCTCCAAATGCGTCAATGTGTGGACTCTGACTCTTCTCTTCTTTTCTCACTTCTGTGATGTCTCCAGAGTCGGCACGGCTGTTGTTTCAGCTCAGGAGTTTGACTGAGTGTTACAGAAACAGCCAGTAAAAGAACACGAAAGGCAGTTTTATCTAAGATAAACACAGCATTGCCTTTTCATTCTCTTCACCGGTCGTCAGAGATTCTTCTAACTGTTAAATCAACTATCTCCATATCCTTCTACACGAGCCAATAATTTTCTTTGGGTTTGCCCTGTTTCTCCGCCACCCCGATGACCTTTTCTTTCCAACCTGCTGCTAACCTTCGGTCATACATCACCACCCCAACACACTCCATCCATCTTCATCCGTTCCACCCTGTCAGCACCCTCTTCTTCGCCTCTTTTCTACGGTTCTCACTTCATTGGATGGTTGACCCCAGGTTCACAATTCAATTATTTGTGATTGTGTGGTTGTTGTTGTGTGCATGTGTGTGTGATTGTGTGTGGTGACTGTGTTTTAGACTGTTGACTGATGACACACACCGTCAACATCAGACTTACTGGCAGTTTCCGTTTTGACATCAGCTCAGTAGTAGTGCGTGGAAGGCAAAACCTGTAGTGTAAAGTGCTTTGAGTGGATGTCAGGACCAGTGATTGACCTGTTTGAGAGCTTTTGAAAATATTTGTTATTTATTCATTCATCTTCCAAGAGCCAGTCTTGGATGAGAGGCGAAACGTCTTCTTGAGAAAATGTCATGTCCAGTTGCCTAACAGAACTCTTCAACCTTGACCATGACCTGGATGACTGAGGATCTTCATAGAATTTCCATCTATACTTTTTCTAAACAATCCATCGTGTGGCCCTCCAGTTTACCATACTGCTACCCCACCTCAGGGCGCAGCCAGGAACAAACCATCTCCGACCACAAGTGCACAGTGAGTACAGACAGGCGGTCTTTGTCTGTGCTCGGGGTGGGGCTCTGGAGAAGTTGGTGTAATGACACCTGTTAGACACACAGGCCTAACGTTGAGACTTTACACATACACCCATTGGCCGACCTTAACAACCTTAATTACATCCAGTACTGTAAATATGAAGCATTTTAGCATTTTCATGTCAATTTACAGATGAACTAAAATAACTGTCGTCTCCACAGAGCTTTAGTCCTGGCTGAAATATCATTACGGCAGACAGTTAAACCCACAATGTAATTAGCTTTTGTTCAAAGCAAAAAAAGAAGAAAAAAAAAGTACCAAATTATGATTAATACCTCGCTGGTCCTGTTTTTTTTTTGTTTTTGTTTTTGTGTGTGTGTAACTTAGCTGTGTATCTGTTGCCTAGCTGCCCTGTGACCTGTGTGTCTTGTTGAACTGACTACGATTGAGACCACGACACATGTACTGTACCTTGGACCATTTTCAATCTTATTAAAGACTGTCGTATCTCCTAACTTTGTCCTCAGTCGAGCCTTGTCACAAGCAGTGGACAACTGTGTATGACTTTTGACATTATTTGTCCCTTCATCCAGGGTCACCACAGAGGTCGTTGAAGTAGTGACCTGGTACAAGTGGTTCACAGCGTGTAGGCCACACATGTAAACTTGTGAGGACAAACTTGTTCCATTAAAAACCCAAAAGTCCATGCCATCCTCATGTATAGAGCGTGTGAGAATCCCAGGGTTTTCCAGCTGCCGTCCATTGGTCAGTGATGAATGAGCTACAATATAACCTTAGGTATTCAGCTCCTGAAAAGACAGAATTCAGCTTTGTGAGTGTAAAAACAGTAGTTTCTTTTTGAGGCCAGGGCTGCACCACTTCACTCACATTTACACAAACATATGCTCACATGTAGTAACCTCAGAGAGCTGCTCCTGTGCCTGTTTGGTCTTTGGCCTCCTCTGTTCACCCCCACAACAAGTTACAGGCTTCAGGACTGGAGGAGGGAAGTCATGAACACAAGCTTTGTTTTGAGCGTTGGCTCTTTTCAGTGAACTTCAGTGAAGTTCAATAACAGAACAGCAGCAGCAGGTCTGAATGAAGAGGCAATGTTCTATTGTAACACATTAACTCTGTTAATAAGACAGTGAATCAGATGGTGCTGGTCACACTTTGAAATCAAAAACCAATAATATTGAGTTAAAAATCTGGTATCCTAAAATCAAACTATTTAAGCTATTTACTAAACCTTATCTGAAACAAGATTACACACAAACACAGATATCCTGATTAACATTGGTCAATAACTGTAGCAGGACAATCAGCTGGACCAGGTCGACAACTTCAACAAAGTCACTGACATCTTCTCAACATGTCTCCATTTAATTCTTTTATTTTTTTTACTTTAACAACATCTACTGTACATATCTAAAAACACTGAATTACTATGTGTGTCTTGTTTCTTCCAGAGCATCAGACCAGCACTGTGTGAAACTGTTGAAATTCAACTTCATTGCGTCACTTCACATAGTGAGAAACTGTAGCATCTCTAAGTCACACTCCGGTTTCCTCTGGGCTAAGATAGAAGTCTTTCCCAGACCTTATCTGTGCACACACATGTCAGACAGGAGATGCACTGAGAGATAAGCAGAGACCTGGTGGCACCCAATTCACTAAAGGATGTCCCTGATCCTGAGACCTCGGTGGGAAATACATGATAGTGGCAAAAAGGGTGTTGGGGGTCAACAAGATGAAAGCCCTCCAACAGCCTGAAAAATGTGGATGAGGTGGATAAGAGCTCAGGAAGTGTTAGGCAGAATCCCTCCCATTAGTGGAGTTACTTAGAACTCAGAACGAGTAAAGAAAAAATATATAAAAAGTGTTTAAAAAATGCTTGAAATTGGTTTACAAGTCCCAAAGGAGTAAATAAAATCAGAATATAATGTTTTTCAAATCCAAGTGAATACTCAGTGTTCCCAAAGCTTTTTAGCAGCGGCCCCTTGAGCCGCTTAAAGCTTCAGAGCTATTTTGATATATATATTTTGTTTTCAAGATTTTGAATTTCTGACTTTTTACTTAGTTTTAAGGTGATACGTGAACTGTTAAGGGACACGTAAGTAACCTGTAACTGTGACAAGAAACTATAGTTAGAAGTATATCCCATTTACTAAAACCCTTTTTTCTATAGAAGCCTTTATATGTTGAGTTTACATATAAACTGAAAAAAGATGTTATGATTAGAGACTATTTTATCCTATTCTGTAGCAGCTAAAATTCTGTTAATAACAAAAAACCGAAAGTTACTCAGTTTCTCTCCTTGTCCCTCTTTTTTATTGTACCTTTTTCTGTGTAGAGTAGTTTACCGGTAGTTTTACTTTGTGCCACAGGATGGCGATAATCTGCTTAACCAGCCGCCAATGTCAGAAAAACACGAAGAAGAAGAATATCCACAGCTGTTTCCTGGTTACCGCCGACCAACAGGATGCTCCCATGAGTGAGCGCGTAGAAAATGATTTGTTTTGTTGTGGCTACAGACAGGACAACGTCAGACTCCGTTATTTGTAGTGACACCGTCGTTTCCCTTGTAAAGCCTTAAACGTGAACAGAAGATGAATGTACCTCTACGGTAAACCAGCGTCTGTCTTACACGTCTTGTCTATGTAGCTCCAGTCCACCGGGGACTGGAGCTACATAGCTATTGTTAGCACGGGTGTAGCAGCTTCACAATCCTAGCAGAGCTTTATGTCTGGACATTTTAAAACAAGTCTTACAAATACCTAATCGTGTGAGTAAAGTTAAAATTGAATGAATAAATCAGAGACTGTAGTAACTTTTCTTTCCTGTTCCAGAACGGATCCTGCAGCAGACAAAACAAGGGTAAACAAGAAGAAAGAACTTACAGAGGATCAGAAGGACGAAATCAAAGAAGCTTTCGAACTGTTCGACACTGACAAAGACAAAGAAATTGACTACCATGAGCTAAAGGTGAGCCCTGTACAGAATTATCATCATCTCAAAAAAATCCTGGTTACAGCACCACTGTATTATGACAAATGCAATGTAACTATTCAGTGTTTGTGATACAGACTGGAAACACTATATTACTCAAGTCATGTGACCTTTTTTTCACAAGTAAATTATCCCTGACAGGTAGCGATGCGAGCGCTGGGCTTTGAGGTGAAGAAAGTGGACGTACTGAAGATTCTCAAAGACTATGATCGAGAAGGAAAGGGGAAAATAACCTTTGAGGATTTTAATGAAGTTTGTAAGTACAAGGCTGTTGAGATGCTGTTGAGCTTTGTCCACCAAGGCAGTGCATTAGACACAGCGTCAGCCAATGTTGTTCATTACTTTTCACAGTGACAGAACGCATTTTGAATCGAGACCCAAAGGAAGAAATACTGAAGGCCTTCAAGCTGTTCGACGATGATGAGTCGGGGAAGATCAGTCTGAGGAACCTGAGGAGAGTGGCTCGAGAACTCGGGGAGAACATTAGCGATGAAGAACTCCGTGGCATGATTGACGAGTTTGATGCAGACGGAGATGGAGAAAGTAAGTAACAGCGAGAAATGGCAGCATTGAAAAATAATAAAATAATGGTATTGGTCTGATAATCGTTTAAATGTTTACACATGCAGGGAAAACATCAGCTTAATATGTTAGGTCATTAACATCACAACTGACATGACGTCCATGGAGTAACCCTTCTTCATCTGATGAAGAACATTATGTATTTTACACACACGGAGCTTAACAAGTTATTTACCTTTTGCAACAATGGCGCACAACAAGGTGTACTGTAGTATTAGGCAGTGTTTTCCAACTTTTTTGGAGACACAACAACAATGTATTTCACCGTAGAAGAATCCTGTGGTTCAGCACCAATTCAAACTGTCAAGAAATTATACTTGTGTAATGGAATACAATGATCTTCTGCTTTTAACTTACTCGCAATTGACTTACTCAGTGTAAATCCTGAGCCTGTTTAGTTGAACACAGCCATGGTATGCAGGTATTGAAGGGAGGCGTACACAGAAATAGTCAAAAGTGATGAATCTCTTTATTTATTTTACATTCATCTGCTGCCACATAGTAAAATAATATTTAATTGTGTAGTTAGATAATTTTCCACATTTCACCTGCGATGGATGATCTTTCATTGCACGTTGTTGTTGTGCTGTGGTACAGTGGTTTGGCGATACAGTCCACAGAAAAACAACAAGATAATGGCCACTCAGTCGTTGCTTCCTTGTGCATATCTGACCATGTAGGCAAACATAAGGGATAGAAAAGATCCTTTAAATTTGCTTGAAAACTTGTCTTTGCTACTTGTGCTACAACCAGCACTTTGTCTTTTCTTCCTCAGTAAACCAGGAGGAGTTTCTGTCCATCATGTCTACAGACTCTTCATGAAACAACAGCTCATCTCAAGGTGTTTCTTTAAGCTGGGAGAAATGTGTTGCTCTGGTCACTGAGAGAAACAACAGAGACTTTCTTCAGTTACAGCCAGTGCTCACAGACTGTCAGCTGTAAGTCTAGTACGTTATTTTGGCATCCATTCGACCAAACTTTCTTCGAAGTCACTTTGTCTTTAGGACATTACAGTTTTTCTAATGTTTGTACATACATCAAGCAGTTAAAACTGAACATCAAAGATCAAGCCATATGTAAAAATGAATTAAAACATTAATTTATTTCCTTTCCTGTCAATGATCAATTTCTAGCTAAAGCAAAAAATATAAGAATTTTTTCTGTCAATGATCAATTTCTAGCTAAAGCAGACTTGAAAAAGTAGACTTGAACAAAAGTCCTTCTCCCCTAATGTCCTTGACCGTATTGTCAGTTTTCTGGTCAAATGTCTACTGTGAAGTAGAAGTCTATCAGTAATTGTAAGAAACTTTTGATTAAACAAATGGAAATAATTAGTAGAAATAAAAATGCTGCACGTTCTGGATGTTCTCTGCTGCAAACTTTACTTCAGTATTTCATGTTTTTTTTTTTAAAGTTAGTCGGAAGTATCTATGGATTTAAGTTGTCAACTTTTTAAGCCTTTCTTACAGACCTGGGGAATAACTGAGTACAACAGGTAAATGAGAGACTGCCTGGTGCAAAAGAGTAATTTGTAAAGATTCTGTCGTGTGAGCATTTCTCTTTATAGAGCCTAGTCTTTCTCTGAGGGAAAAATGTTAAGATTATGAGTGTTAAAACCTCAGGGTTGTACAACCTCTGCTCCCTCTAGTGGTGTATGGGGGAATATGTTTCCCAGTAGGATAAGGTGAGTCACTCAGTAGTTAAATACAGATGTTGTGTATATTCTCATGCGCTCTGTTTGGGTTTGTGTGGTATGCGTGTGTTTGACTTGAGAATCCAAACAAAGTACCGACTGTAGTTCTACTTCACTGCACACTGTGACTTGGCAGGAATAAATGATCTTTGTACTCGACTTTAATGTCCTTTACGCTGTAGTCCATCGAGTCCAAATAGGAGGTGGCATGACTAACAGTCCACAGCACAACAGATGGTCAGATTCTGGGAAACTAGTTGCCGGCATGAGGGTTGTTCGATGACAAAAGTGGCCTGCGGGCCAGGGGTTTGAGACCCCCAATCTAAAACCTTTAAAATTAGTGACAACATCTTTCATTATAGAAACACTAGTTTCCTCACCTGTGGATTCAGGTTGGTGAGTGAGTGTAAATACAGAGCACATCTGAACCAGCTGAACCATGGGCTCTGTGTTGCATGTCACAATTCCTCCACCAGGTGTCCTCCAAGGAAGGCAGGTTTTAAAACCCCTCAAGCAGCAGTCTGTTAGGAATCCTAACAGGCTGCTTGTTTTTACTCAAGTGACTCATTTGAATGTGTTCACGACCTGTGTTTGTGTCCAAACTCCCCACTGTTGTACTTTATCCAATAGAATGGAAATGCTAATCAGAGAAAACTAAGTTTGGCTGATTGTTTGTATAATCTTGCGCCTTTGGTGTTGATGCACGTCCACATGTAAACTTTAAATGGGATACAGAATTTATGAAAGTAACTTGATGGTTCTTGGCAGGGGACCAGTACCCCTCACAGCTGCCAAAAACTGTACAGTGATTTAAAGGTACAGTTGTTCAAACCATGTTTCTTTAGTATTTTTTTTTCTGCTGTGTTTGATGTCAGCAGACACACACACACACACACACACACTTACACACTCTGTAGATATTGTGTTACCGAGTATGTGCACTCAGGCTGAAGGTCAGCATCCATGCTGGTTATCAGAGCTGCATCTGATCGTGGTTGCAGGGGGAGACATCATGACTTGTCCTTGCACTGGCACATGCTCAGCTGTCACACCCAGGCCTGCAGCAGAGCTCCATAAATAGACCAACCCAGTCCCTCCCCAGTTACAGTCCTGGAGTATCCGTTCGGTGTATGACTGTGCATTCACATCCTCCATCAGACGGTTAAAAATACATGCAGTCTGGATTAGTTGGTCATGGTCTTACTTTCTGGGAAGAGAGCAATAGCAGAGGTTAACCTAGGTTCCACATCTATATCCACGGCTAATGTGATGATATCATATGAACTCTGGTGTCTGGTTATCTGCTGTTGGTCAGACTTTGTTAAATCTGTTTTTACGGCTTTCTCACAACTACAGCTAGTACACTGAGTGCAGAGAGACAACTGAAAAACAACACACCATTAATTCTTACTCAGGAGCCTTCCTGGAAAGAACCAGTACTGCTACAGACCCATCACATGTTTGTTTTTTGTTAGCACTTTTGGTCCAGAGAAAAAAAGAACATTTTAATTACAGCAGAAAAGACTTGAGCTGCTAGAGTTGCCAACATTTATTAAAGATATATTTACTAATAACATCTATAATAAGTTATAATAATTGTATTTATTATAACTATACTCAGTGGCCACAGGGTAGCAGTAAAGTATCAAAAAGATGCTAACTGCCATAGAAATCAGAAAAAGAAAGCTGGCATCAGAGGATGTCACATGAAAAGCATCTCAGCTCACATAAAAGGCAAAAGTTAAAAAAAACAAAACAAGTTGATGTTACTCACATAAAAGGCAAAAGTTAAAAAAACAAAAACAAGTTGATGTTATCATTGCTAACTGATGCTAGTTGGCAAAAAAGGAAATAATAATGTTCCAGGTGATTATAGAAGACACTAATTTAACCAACAACAGATTATCAAGAACGCTAAAGAATTCTCAGAAAGATGCCTACTGCCATAAAAATGTACGGACAGAACAGTGAGGCATCAAAGGATGTAACAAGAATAGTATTCCAGCTCTTGAAAGGACAAAGTTATGAAAAAAAGCTTTTGAAGGTGGAAGTTGTAGACATTTACTGATGCTAGCTCGCAAAAACGGCGAAGAAGAATGCTTCAGTTATTCCCAGAAAAAACAATTCAGTGACAAAAAGATGAAAAAAGTGTCAAAAGATGCTCAAGGCAAATCCTGTGGCAGCATCGCACGATGAACAATGTCACTTTTTGTAAACACCAGAGAAGAAGAAGAAATGAGCAGAGTAGGGCAGTAGCACAAATTCTTAATTTAATTTTTTTTTCTGGAAAAACACAGAGGAGGAAATTAAGGGTTAAAAATAAAAATGAAAAAAGCCACTCTCACAAAAACTGAAGAACAATCATGTCTCCTGTGACAAGTAACGCTTTTAATCAACCACAGTGCACCAGAAGTCGATCATCTCAGTGAACATGAGTAAACCAGAGAACCTCAACCCCACCCAGAGCTGGTATGGGCCACCAACAGATGTCGAACCGATGTTTTCAAACCCAAACCAGTCTGAGGAGGAAGTCACCAGTGCTGCGGCGATGGCGGACCAGACCGTCCTCCTGATGCCTGAGATGGAGCTGAAACGACTCACCTCTGAGAAGGAGCAGAAGATCTGGGAGCTACAGGAGGAGCAGTGCTTCCTCATCTACCAGACTAAACAGCTGCAGAGGGACTTAATCGATGAGACCGAGGAGATGAACTACATCGCCAGGTTGGTTTCAGAGTCCAAGAAAATAAAAGCAGCTGCCGCTCAGAAAATCAAGCAGCTGCAACGAACCGTCGCCTCTATGAGGAAGAAGAGGGAGAACGCTGAGGTGCACCTTGGCCTGGAGAAGAAGGAGGCTGCTCATGTCATGACTGCACTGGTCCAGGCTGAGAACCAATTATACCAATGTCACCAACAACTGGAGGATGACAAGCACTATCTTCTGCAGCCGACCTCCAGCCTCAAGGTCTCTCTGAGCCAAGCCCAGGAAGACCTGGTCAAGGAGAGGAATCAGTGGACTCGGGAGAAGTTGGAGCTTCTTCAGTCCATCAGAAAAGCTAAACGAGATATGGAGCAAGAGGAGGAGATAAGGAGGAAGACCATGTCCCACCTGTTGGAGAGGATCCAGACTCTAGAACATAATATGAGGGAGGCTCAAACCAAGTCTAATAAGATCACTCCATACTCACGCATGGTCCAGTTCTTAAAGAACTGACTGGAGTCCCCAGCTGACCTCTGACCTTATTTGTCACATATACGTGCTCCTGCTACACTTGTCTGTGGCCAATCAACAGAAGGTCACTACAAAACATGAATAAATTGAAATTTTCATACAGGATGTTATACACATAAGACAACAAAGGAATAGCTGCTTGCTTAGTAATCTACAGCCAGCCTAGCCGGGATTTCAACCCATGACCTTCTGATAACGACCCCTTTTTTTTCCAAGTTTCCGTCCACCAAAACACTGGAAATGCCGGGGATTGAACCCGGGGCCTCATACATGCAAAGCATGCGCTCTACCACTGAGCTACATCCCCATACAGCTGTCAGACTACAAAGAGTCTGGAATTCCTGGTCAGTCCTACTGTAGGAATTTCTCTTCACAAACTAGTTGTAATTCCATTCTCGCTTCTCTGTTTGAAAAGAGCAGGCTTTAATGGTTGCATAGCTACCTTTGAAGTACAGTTCTCTAAGATGTATAATATTCCACTTTTTACCATTTGGTCTGTATCAGGGAAACAGCTGTTTACGAGATGAGATTATTTCCGTTTTACTAACGACCACATGACATCTGTTGGCATCAACGCTGCAGAAGTATGGGAGGAGTGGACACAGGCATGAGGAGGGAATGCCTTGAGACGGGCAGTTGATTGGACTATGTCTGGCACTTGACTGAGGTTGGATTAGTTTACACAAGCTCATGGCTTTCACAGAAACTGAATCTCCTGGAAATCTCAGCTCCGTACCACTTACACTGACCTGCAGTGGTGGAGACCTTCACTCAAAACAACAAGATGTTTCCATAAAAAAGTCTAAAGTCTGGTATAAACAAAGTATATAATGACTGCGGTTTAACTCGTTTAAAACAGTTTAGCAAAAAGTTCATACTTCAAACTTCAATATCAAATATAATATATCACATGTAACTTTTGTGTCTGTAATGAGAAAACAATTGTGAAGACAGTTTATTTCACGCCCATATATGGAGTTCAACATCAGAATAAAATAATAGTTCAAGTTTTGCCTTGAATGTACTGACAGCAGCCAAGGGTTTTTATGAAAGTACGTAACTCTTTTCACTGGGAGTGACCAGTGATGAGCAGATCAGAGGGACAGTTAAGGTGGAGCAGTTTGGAGATGAAGTCAGAGAGGTGAGGTGGAGATGGTTTGGACACGTGTTGAGGAGAGACAGTGAATATATTGGACAGAGGATGTTGGAGATGTAGGCAGATGATCTGCTGTGGTGACCCCTGAAGGGAACACTTGACGATGATGATGAAAAAGAAGCAAAAAGACGATAATGATGAAGAACAAATAGACATAACAAAGGATCATGTGACCGTGCGGTCAGCCCAGTAGTTCTTCTGTTCATAACCGAAAGGATCAAGAGCTCCAGTTGCCACCAGGACCATCCTTTTTCAAAAGAATTCTGACTGGCTGCATCTCTTTGTGTTACAACAGCTGCTCCGCCCACAACAGGAAGACCCCCCCCCCTCCCTCAGACATTTCTATGTTTCTCCTCTCAGACTTTCTTCAACCTGCCTCTCCTGGAATGTGGCCATCAGAAGGACTGGCCCTAGACATTCCTCTCATCCATGTCCCGCCTCCTGCCAGCTGGGTGAATACAACAGACATCACGGAGGCTTCTCCGGACGGAGGAGCAGACTAGACCAACACACCACTGTTAGGATGCTGAACTCCCCCCTAGACCCCACCTCACCCCTTTATCAGTTAAATATCACCCTTGTCCTTGTGGAACTCCACCCTGTCCTGAGCAGAACGAACCTAATAATTTGACATGTGTATGTTCTCATTTTATGACGTACACTTCATCTGTGCTGCTAAGTACTGCAGTAATGCTAACTCATAAGATTGCATCTTATGACTTTTTTCTCTCGCTCTCTCTCTCTCTCTCTCTGTGTGTGTCTCTCACCCTCTTTCTCTCTCTCACTTTCTCTGCCCTGCACTGACAGGACTGGACAGCTGAGAGTAATCCTCTGCTGAACAGATGCTCTCCGTGCTAATATGTAGGACATGCTGGCAGGTTTTATCTCTCTCTTTCTGTCTGTCTGTAATGTGTAGAGCTGACAGTCTTTGGAGTGGTAATCCTTGGCCCTCACACCAAGGCCTGTAGGCCCTGAATGTCAGCAACACATTTTTTCTCTGGCACACAAATCCACATCCACCCCACACACACACACACACACACCGCGCGCACCAGACACCTTAAAACTATATATATATATAAAGTGAGTGACAGCCACAGCTGATTGGATGGACGCTACAGCACCACTCAGTCAGCCTGGACACAAGAGGTCACAATAAAGAGGCGTGTAAATGTATGAGTGCATTTGTGTAACTTTTGAGAGACATTTTTGTCTGTCGTCTTTTTATGACTTAATAACAAGATAATAAACATCATGACTAATGATATCTAATGGGACTAAAGACTGGTTATAAAAAAAAGATCAAAATTTCAGGAATATGGTTATAGTCAGAATTGAAAGTTAAATTTAAATGAGGTTATTGGCAATCACTGGAATTAAGTGACGATAATTAAGGTTTTGGCGATGCTAATGGCAGACTGCTAAATTAATGGAATTAACTGCAAGAAAACAAAGGGTTACTCCAATTTTTGTATATATTTTGGTATGTGCTTGATCCCAAATGACTATAAGGAAATTTAAGGAGGTTGTCCAAGGCTCAAATTTTATTTGATTATTTTAATGAAAACTATTGGTCTACGGTTTGGCTAAAGCTACTTTACTGTAGACGACCTGAATGAATTCTACAAAGTTAAAGTGCCTTCTTTCATCCCTACAATGTGCTGTAGATAAGTCACCGAACCAAGAACCCAGTAAAAGACCGTAGTTAGTTTAGTGTGTGGTACTAAGGGTAAGACTAAAACTAGTGCGTGTGTGTGTGTGTGTGTGTGTGCCAATGGTGGAAGGGGAGGGGACGGGGCGGGTGTTTGATTAGCAGGATCATTGTCCCCCTGTAGACTAGTTGAACTCAGTGCAGACGGAGCGCTGATCCAAACACAACCCAGTTTTGGGTCTCCATCTTTTTAAGCCAGCTGGTCTGGCTTAATATGATTTTTTTCCTTTTCTTTCCTTCTTTCAACTTTTTTCAGTCTTGTTTGATACAAGAGAGTGAGTGAAGACACCCACAGCTGGAGCTGTTGGGACGAACCTTCCAGGTGAAGACAGACTCACGTGTCTACTGGGTAGTGAACAGTGGTGTTTATGTGTGTGTGTTTAGATGTGTTGCCTGCAGTACAAGCCTGAATAACACTGTTGTCAGACAAATGTCTGTGCAGTACAAGCCTGAATAACACTGTTGATGAAACAATGAAAGTCTGTTGAAAGTGTGAGACAACATTCTGCTCTGTGGGACATCAGTCCATGGTGAACTGCTCTCTCCTACAGCGGACAGCTAAAGGAAAACTCCTGTCCATTTCATCTTGCTGGGTTCAGAGGTCAGAGGTCTGGTGAACTGCCATTAATATGTACACAGATATGAGATGCAGCAGAGCTAGAGTTGATGTAAAGGTAACAGGTAACAAAGACACAAATAAGGCAAAACACTGCATTTGACCTTGAAACATCATCAGGTTCTTGATCACATTGTTGTTATTCTTTATCTGTGCCATAATTGGGCATATCCAGTGTAAATCATCTGTCTAGAAAGACCTGTAAAGGACTGTAAAGCTTAAGCTTCAGATGAATTAAGAGATGTCTTGAAGTTTTGTTTTGCGCTTCATTCAGCTCATCACATTTTTTTGGTTGATGGTTGAGGGGAATCACTGTGCTGAGTGTTCCCTCACCTCGTCTTGTCAGGCGTCTCGGCTGCTGAATGATCCACTGTGGCCACTATCTGCCCTGCAGCTGAGTCTGTTACATGTTTACTGCTGCTGCTGCTGCTGCCTGTGGTCAGAGTGAGGGATATTGGGTTACCAACGGCAACAGCTGAGAAAATTACTGATAGTCTTTACTAATGATCTCCGAAAGTGAGATCATTAGTAAGGGGTACATTAAAGTCTGATTTTATAAGGTAATGATGCATAATGCCCCCTCCCATTGGAGAAAACTAGATATGGACGATATACCCATGGGGACAAAATCAGACATCAGGTTTTAAACAATTAACAAATATAACAGGAAAATATCCATCTGCCATATTTACTATCTTAAGGTTATGTATTTTTACTGGGGCAAGATGATGGTTGGTACAACTTAAACTCTGGTGGTAACTGAAGGTCTCTGTATGGAGTTTGCATGATTTCGCGTTGTGTGAGAGAGAGTTTTCTCAGTGCAGAAACATGCAGATTGGGGATCAGGGTATTTGTTTAGTTGGTGTGAGTCGATGCACCTTTACATTATGTCAGTGTCTTACAGTCAGCTACAGCTAGCTGCAACATTTCTGCTAACGGTTTGCTAACAATTATTGCGACTATTGCGAGTGCATTAAACCATTCAATTATAGAATATTGATTATTATGATATAGGAATGATTATAAAAGATTACATTAACTCCAGTATATTTTTTGGGCTCTACGTGTAGGAAGATATTTGTATTGCCTCACATTTAGACACAAAACAAACAAACTTTAATTACTGTCACCTCAAGACATTGTAAATAGTTTCTGTATAGTAAATATGTATATGTATATATATATGTGTATATATATATATATATATATATAGTATCTTTTTCTAGTTTTTAAACCCCTCGTAGTGAAGTTAGAAAAGTGATATATGTGCTTTCAAATGAACCAAATTCTATATGTATAAATGCCTTTGGAAACACATGGTAATGAAAATATTGGATATATTCTATATATTTTATTTTTACAATTTGGTAAATTGATGTTAATGTGTGTCCTACAGTTCTTAGATTAAATTATTAATTAATACAAAATAAAATAAAAACATATTGTAAATATATATACATATATATTATAATAATACTTCTGAAAATACCTAACCATCAAAAAATCCTTGACCCCAGACAGAAGCTCTGGGAGGTCATGGTGCGGGATCCTCAGTTGTTACAACATTCCACAAGGTCTGTGGTTGGGATTAGGACTGAGACTGAAGACAAAGAAAAAACACTTTGTCTTATCCCTTTACCAGTTGATTCATTTTCATTTTAGGGACGTATATTAACGATCCAGTTCATTGGATATGCGATTGGAATCAAGTCCACAAGGGGGCAGCAATGACACGATCGAGAGTTTTGGCGGCGTGTGTTATGAAATTTTTTTCAGAGGACTCAAACAAATGAGCCACATTCACGTGTTCCTCTTCTGGCAGTTGTTCCCTGCTTCGTCTCTGTCTTAAACACAGCAGTCCTTTGTTGGTCTATCTATCTTTCCGCTTAACCACATTCCTTATATTTGTTTCTGTGTGCGTGCGCGCGCCTGTGACGTTGCCGCCTCCTGACGCACAGGTGCAGGCCCGTGCTCCACGACAAGAGCGTCACTAATGGACGAGAATTGAGCCGCCTGACGGGGACACCTACTGGGTCACGAACGCAGAGAAATGCGATGAATAGGTGAGGTGTGGCGTTTGTAGGTGTGTGAGTGAGTGTGTGACAAAGGGAGACAGAAGAGAGAGAGACACAGGGAGGCAGAAGAGAGAGAGAGAGAAGTATCTGCGCGGCTGGACGGAACACTCCACAGATAAACAATAGGACGGAGCAGAGGATTGATCCGCGCTCGTCACCTTTTCCTGCTTGACACCGGGACTTCGTGTCAAAACTTCCACACGCTCGTCTCTGTCTCTCCCCGTCTTCTGGCTCAGTCAAAGTTAAACTTTGGAGCCCCCCACCTCCCCGACTCCTGCTCACCACCCCTCTGTCCCCCACTTCTTTTCCGGGGCAACATCCTAGAAGAAACAGTTTGGGAACTCTTTTGAACACATGACGGATCGGTGTTGCGCAGGATTTTGTTTCTTTTTGACATCGGCGGCACCTGGTAAGAACATCACTGTTGCTCACACGTGCGTGTGAGTGTAGGTGTGTTTGTATCAGGCGTACAACAGACTTCGTCCTTCTTCACACACAATGTAAATAAGCCTTTCCAAACCGGGGGTTCACGGATCTAAAGTGGTACGTCAGGGAAATTCAGGAGTAAACAGCTTTTTATTTTGAAGATTAAATGCCTGTTAAGTAGAGTAATTTTGAGTGGTAAATATAGCAGATAACTTTTATATAACAAATGTTGAATTGTTGATTATTTTCAATCATTTTAAATTTCCTTTGTGGCAAATGTAAGTTTCCTGTTTTACTAATGTTTCTATTATTAGTGGTGGGCTGTAAATAACAAAAATAATTTGCACTAATCACAACTTTTGATATTTAATAATTACAATGAATGTACGTTAAAAAAAACTTTTGATATTTAATAATTACAATGAATGAAACAAAAAAAATAACCATTACAGGCAATGATTTTAAAGCCAAAGTTTAATTGACAATATAATAAATGAATAACAGAGATACAACTTCAAAAATATTTATTGTTAAATGTTATCAATTAATTTGCAGAATTTGACACAAAGTTTATTTGATTTGAAAATGATGTTCTGATCTCCAGAAAGTCAACCAGCCATAAGAAAGGCTCACCTAACGTGTGCTGTACGTCATGTCACCTGGTCATTGCAGATCTTATGTGTCTGAAAAGCTCACAAATGAAGTATTCATTATTATGACTATGGCAAATCGTAGAAAAAAAGGGGAGACTGATCTGAACCAGTCAATGAGAAGAATGATTGACGACTAGACAGACATCTTTGATGTTCATGGTGTGAGCGTTTCTATGAAGAGTTGGCCGGTACTGTATTACATCTGCTAAAGTAGAGTACCAGACTACACAGACTAGGACCAATAGGAATCTAGACCATATCCCTGTGGTTTAAAACTATAGGGCGGGTTCCCCTTAGGAGGCACCAAGCTGTTTCCACATAGGGAAACTGCTGTGATTAGTAGTTTTACTTTATTTGTCCAATGAAGGAAAGCATGTTGGTAGGAATTACCATGTTTTAAATGGAATAAACCATTTAAACCACTGCTGTAGTCTGAAGAAGAGCCTAGTTCTCCCCCTCTTTCTAACTCTGTTCCTTCAGAGGAGTACTGGATATTTGTTATTTCCTTTGAGACACAGCTCATTGCTCATCTAATTTCATACACCCACAGTCTTGTACGGACTATTTTAGTCGCAGCGAGGCCTGTGGTGTATGGTAGAAAATACAAATTATAGAGTCATTTCAACCCTAGACAGTTGACATATTGACTTCTTTGTGTAAAAATAAATAGTCCACCTGTGTAGACGGATGGAACATTGATGTAACAAACCAGTTATTCACGACTTTAACACAAGTCTTGGTTCTGTAAGTTATAATCAAACTAATCAAACTCATATTTTCCTCCAGTTTCTTTTTCACGTGTTGGCAAACAGAACTCAGATCAGCTCTGGTTTGGGTCAGGTTCTATATCAGTGTGTATAGAAAAAACACTAATGTTATATCTCGGTGTAGTTAAAGAATATGACATTAGTAGGCATTGATTCTCTTAGGAACTATTCATCGATGTTGGAGTTGGAGACTATGGTCATTTACCTTAGCTGTCAAGGTTTCAACTATCTACCAAAGACCAAGTTTGAAAAAATGATATTGTCTACCACAGTTTTTCTCTAACTATAGGTATCATGTAGCATTAGTACATGTACCATTACTTGGGCCTCTTCTAGTGTGAGCCGCTCTTTGTGTGTGTTAATGTGGTTTCAGAATTGAATTCAAGTGCCAGTTGTAGTACTACCTCACTGTATGTTGTGGCTTTGGCAGATAATTCTAATATTCACATTAGAAATAAAATCTAAAAGCAGTGGAGGCCTGTGCTGCTGTAGATGTCGATGGTTATAGTGGAGCCAAATAATAGGTGGCATGCAGTATAAAAACTTTAAGAACCACTGGTCTACCATTTATACGTATTCTCTCTTATTCCTGCTCGGAAACATTTTTAAAGAGGAATTCATCCTAGTATCATCCTAGAAGTACATGCAATAGAAGTGGAACCTTGCCAAAGCTGTGACGACATGATAGGCTCTTCTGAGACTATAGGTTATTAAAGTATTGATGAGCAACAACGTCAACATCTAAACCCCGGGCTACTGTACCTTTAAGTCTGTGTGACATCAGTCACTCACAGTATGCTGAGCATGTGCTGTTTGTGCCACAAAGTGACTCATTTACTGCTTATAGAGGGGTGTCCCTAACCACACCGCCTCTCTCAGGTTACCAGTGTCTGCATACAACTCCTTAGAGGGACCTCGGACCAGCTGTTTATCAGGGATCGGTTTTTTCTAAGTTGATTTAAAAGGGCAGAACATTGACATATAAAACATGTCAAAGGCCCTTTGTGACCACTCTCCCATAACTGTCACACTGTATTTGGCTACTTTTTCACTTTATCACTTTTGCACTATTTCAGCTGTTGCTATCGAGTTATTGCCATCTGCTGAATATCTCGACTTTTCTAGGCTGAATCTAGTGATGCAATGTTTTGACCAAGTTTGTAATACTTTGACAAATTTTTTTTTTTTTAGTTTTTTTTTAGTTTTTAGTACAAAAATGTTTTTAATATTTTAAATATTGTTTAATATCTTTTAGGGTTGTTCATGTAAATTAAATCAAATTTCAAGTTTGATTTGGACTCCAATTAGTTACAAAAACAGGGTAATTTAGGGTAACCCCTAAATGATTTAAGTGAAAATATAATACTTTGACAAATGTTTTTTTTTTAGTTTTTAGTACAAAAATGTTTTTAATATTTTAAATATTGTTTAATATCTTTTAGGGTTGTTCATGTAAATTAAATCAAATTTCAAGTTTGATTTGGACTCCAATTAGTTACAAAAACAGGGTAATTTAGGGTAACCCCTAAATGATTATTGTGAAAACTATTTTGACACATTGTGCTCTGCAAGTATATTCTTATATTAAATTTACTCCTAAATGACTAACTTCTGTCCACCCTTCCCAAAGGCCGTCTGCTGCACTTAAAATAGTCATTTAAAAAGTCATAAAGACGGCAGGAGGCGATAGCAGACAGAGAGGAGCAGCAGTGTTAAATCAGTAAAAAAAATAAAAAAAATACTCTTGTGATGTCTGCACTGAGCATCAAGGACCCCCCCACCCCGTGACCCCTCCTTGGCCGGGGCAGACGGCTGCACAGTGTGAGTCCGGATCTGCCTAACATTAGTATTTGTTCTTCTCTGTTACAGAATGTTTTTTCTGACGGGGGACTTGAGATGATGGGGTGGTGGAGTTGGTGGGAGGGGATTTTTATCAATACTGTGAAGTGTATTAAAGTGAAACGTGTTTAGTTATTTTGGGCTCTGCAAACAGTTTAATTTAACTTGACCTTTCAATTTCTGTGATTCATCATCCTCCATTTTTCCTCAATTCGTCTTCGAGCTACTCTATGTTGCAGACCACGCTCTACAGTCACGTGTACTTTACTGTATGTACTGATCCTGTACGCTGCTGAAGATTTGATATGATCGTCATGTGGTTACACAGCTGACGGAGCACAGATTTTCTCGTTTGACAGTGTCTCACAGTGTGGTGTACTGAGTGGTTCAGATAAAACAGACATGTTCATAGCATTGAACTACCATTATGGATCTCTTAACTATTGATCGTTTGGTTCTAATTAGTATTTATTTTTAAATAATGATCAATTAATTAAAGTACTTTCATCTATATTTGTATTTATATATTCATTTATTGGAAAAATTCACAGACCTAAGGCTTGGAGTTGAGCACACACACACAAACACACACACTCGCGCATACACACACACACACACACACAAATGGCGTAGGGAGCTAGCTAACGGGCCACATGCTGCTCCGGAGCCACAGGTTGCAGATCATGAACACCCTGTACCAGGGGTTATTGGTAATTTTGCTACTCTGCAGTGGAGCCATCTGAAAACGTAGAATAAAATGTTTAACATACTCATTGTCAAAGAGTAAAACCATGGACCTGACACACGCACACACACACACACATAGTACAGCTAATATGTATTTCATTTTCCTCTTTTTACAGTCGCTGACTGTAAAAAAAATGTTATTGTTTGGGGTAAAAAGTTTATCTTTTACTTTTGTCCTATTTTTCACATTGACTCTATAAATAGGTGGATGAGTGTGTCTCTTTGTGTGTGTGTGTGTGTGTGTGTTTCTGGTCCAGCCATTGTTGTGGGAAGTTATTTGTTGTGGAAATATTATTGTTGTCGGGACACTGAGTGTTAGAGTATTTTGAGGTTCGAAAGATAATTGGAAGTTAGGATTAGAACGGGGGTCAGATTAGAGTTAGGGTAAGGAGTGAACTCGGACATACGTTTGTAATGGTTGAGGTGAGGGAGAGAAAGAGGAGTGGGGTGGGGGGGTGGAGTGGATTTCAGTTCATTAAAACATATTTACAGTCGTTGGACCAATCACATGCATAAATGCTGTAAAATCAGGACAAGGTTTTTCTCCATCACCGTCACGTCTCTGGCCCGCTGTTCTTTATTACTCCAGTCTGCTGAGTGTGCGTCGTCTGTGAGTGCTCTAAATTTAAACAGTCAGTGCTGCTGATATTTTCTTAAAGCCTGTACATCTGTTTACACCGATGTGACTCAGGCTCTGGATATTCGTGCATCGCTCTCACGCTGGCGTGTTTCTTCTTGCTTCCTACGATCGTGACGCTATCACAGCTCTCAATCAGAGCGCGTTGTTGGAACATAACACGCCATTAATCTTCACCACACGTCTTATTGCCATCACCATATTCACACATTCTTATGTCAAGGATTAGAATGGAAAATTATATGAAAGATAATTAGACTGAATTAGAGTTACAGTACAGGAGTGTTAAGATTCTATAGTCAAAAACGGCCAGTGGGGGCAGTGTTGTCAGGACTTTTTACCAGGTCTTTACATAGCAGGTGTACAAATCTGTGCTTAACTCTCATCTCCAACAATATTGGGAATAAACTTTAACAGTGTCCTATTTGATGCCTAACCACACATGAAAAATTGTATACAACACATCGACATTTTAAAATGATCTTGCACATAAAAAAATGATGACTTCATTGTCTCTACCCCTGTTTTGTCACCTGTCCATCCAACCCCCTATTTAAATGAATACATTTTAATTGCATGTCTCTTGTCATGCTGACGTCAATGTGCATTACTGAAATGAAATCACTTCTCTGCTTCCCAACCGGCCATCGCTTCACATGATTCTTCCAGCCAATCAATTTTGCGTATCACCTCAGATTAGCTTGTCAGTTTCTCAAATCCTCGTCAGCGATTTGGCTTCTTTTTTGACTTCTCTCAGGACTTGGAGATCTAGTCCTGAGTCTAGCGACATTACAGTTGGTGAATGTTGTTAATGTTGGTCCATGACTTTGACTGTTTGGTCGGCAGGTGTTTTTCTCTTCTGTGGCCACAGCCTTCACGGTCTGTAGGTTTTCAGGTAAATGTACAAAATGCAGTGAGCATAAGGTATAAAACCAGCAAAACATCATAACATATTTGAGATCAGATCTGATTTTAGGAAGGAATAACAGCTACGATCTCCCTTTTGTTTAGAAGACTCACCTTTTTTTTTCTTTTGCTTTTGTAAATTCCACATCACTCTGAGTGCAGGCACCTCCTAATAGTGAGCATGCCGTTCCTCTCTTCTACGCCCTCTCTCTTTTCAGCTTGCTGTGATGACGGCAGAAGACTGCCAAGAACAAATGTCATGTGTGTTGTGTGCGTCAGTTTCCGTCTGTGTGAACTTCCAGTTCACTCTGTGAATCAGGCTCCACTTCAGCAATGACGTGGATCACATGGTACCTGTACTAGACCATTGTTCACGTGTAGTCGTATGTGTTTCACAGAATCACCAATGCAAACAGTGTAAAGGAAAACAAAAGCTAGAGAAATATCTATATATGTATGTGCGTGTATATATATATATGTATATATATATATATAACTTCATTCTGTTTCTCTTTGTAAAAAAAAAAAAAGAATGTGAATGTGTTACCGTGTTTACTTTGTTTTGTCCCGTTGCTGTTGGTAACACTCACTTTTGTTGTCATGAAGTTATAAAAGTGGAACAAACCAAGAAGTGGACAATTCCCACTCTATGCATTTACAGCCCTTACAACAGGCTCCAACATGTGCAGACAAATTCTTAGATAAACTATGGATATCTGTAGGAAAAAAAGTCAACACATACTTAGTAATGACATGTTAATACTTTTTTTAAATTCCCACCTCTGCTTGCACAAAGACACGTAATTCTACTTTGTTTTAATCTTCTCTGGCATTTAGCCTAGGGTACAGTGTACGCGATGTGTTCGAGGGCAACGAGTCTATACAGGAGTGGTAGGAAGCAGCAGTTGAATCAGGTGTCATGGTTGAAGGCATTTGGGTTGTTGAGCAGTATTTGCACGAACTGCACTCTGCTTAGTTCAGAGGCGTGGACATGATCCCTCAGATTATTGATTGATGATGTTACTATGAAATATAACATTAATATTTATCCTTTACACTTTCAGTGGCACTGGCAACATCTCTGTCTGTCTAAATATTGTCGAGTACTGCACTGAGTGAAGTGATATATATACATAAATATATGTATATATATATGTCAGATATATATAATCAGATACATTCAGATGTCTTTTTTTCTAATTCATCACCTGTAATTGCACCAAGCAATTATCATCACTGCTGATGATATGCACCAGGGTCTTCCACTTCCTCAACATACAGTACACTAACACCTTGAGGGAGCCTGGCTCATGGGTGGTGTTGGGGGGGGTCAGCAGTAGCAGCAGTAGAACGGCGGGGTATGCTAACAGACAGTACTGAGTGATGCCTGTCTGTGCGTGCATGGTGGTTGAACTCTGCTACGCAGCAGGCAACACTGCCCACAAACTCCCCCCTTTCTCCCCCCATGGTAATTAAATGCAGTGTCCATACATGTTTCTGTCTTGCTTTTGTTTTGCTGTCTTTTGTTGTTTTTATTGCCCTGGAAATGGTTAGACGTTTACACGCCAAACCTTCAAGTAGGATTGAAATGTTAAACCTGTTTATTCTCTTCCTCTCCTCTGTGTGTGGGCATGCATCTAAGACTGGAAAGTATGATTTTCCTAATGATTAAATCTAATAGTTATGTCCTCCTTGTGCTTGCAGAAGCCAGCCCACAAGCTTGTCAGCAGTTTGGAATCGCCGGTGAAAACCTGTAAGGACCTGGAAGTCAAAAAGAAAAAGAAGGCCTTTATAAGAGATCACCAGAAAGAGTCAAGATGGGGAGAAAAAAGATTCAAATAGCACGGATAATGGATGAGCGAAACCGACATGTAAGCATTCCATTCACACACACACACACACACGCATTATTAAGACCACCCACTAAGTTGATATTTACCATTGATAAACTGTAACCTCTGAATTTAGACTGACTCAACAAATATCAGCATTTGAATATTTTATTATTATTCATGGTGGTTTGCAGTCTTGATGAGATGATCACTGGTTCAAGCCCCAGTTAAAACTCAGTATAATGTTTGCATGTTATCCTCATGTGTGTAGGTTTTCTCCAGGGGCTCTAGGTGTTAGAGACGGACTTCACCTTCCTATAAGGTTTTCTCTCATGCTCCCTCACTCAAAGACACATTTGGTCTGGCAGCTTTTTGTGATCAATGGAAAAGACAAGTGGAACATTCTTCGCTTTAGCATTCTTGGTGGAACAAGTCTGGGAGCATTTTAGACCTTAACTGGAGCAGCTGGTGAAGAGAGTTTATACCAGGACAGGCGTCATCTGTTGCTAATTATATAATGCTCCCAAAGTATGATTTTTTCTTTGTAGTTTTCTTTGGTTTCTGTTGATTTACATCTTGTTTACTTTTGTGTTTCATGCAAATTGAACTTATTTGAGCTTAAATCCAAAAATGGCCGACACAAAGGAGCAAAGCATTTATTTTAAGAATATAGAAACATTTTGAATACGTTCATAAACTAATTTTGGAAAGTTTATTACTTAACCGTCGTCTCATTTATAAAGAGATTCGTATGAAGGACTTTTTGCAACCAGTTTTGTCGGTTCCTAACTGTAACTTCAATATTACTTTGTATAATTCTCATTTCAAATGCTTCTAAGTCTAGATTCTCTCATTTGATCACTCACTAATTTGAATTCCCACTGTACATGGAAAGTTAATCTTCATCTATTTTAATGCTATTGGACGTTTTTAGCACCATGTCGCTGATTAAAGAAACCAGAATTAGTTTTAAAATCGATTTAAAAAAGGCTCTAAATGCACTTATTGTTTCTATTTTTTCCCCTCTTTTCCCTTCTCCTCAACTTTGTGTTAAACCCACTTCAGCTACACAGACACATTACATACTGTAGTTCCTCAAACTGGTGACATCATGTCATATGATGCCCACAAGCTCCTTCTTCCTAGCAGGGCTTTTATACAGCTCTGTGTTCAGCATGGGTCCAAACATGGTAGCTGTGTATGACGATTGTGAGAGAAAAAGAACAGTCAGTAAGAGAAATGTGTGTGTGTGTGTGTGTACTAGTGTTACACATAATCATGCATGAGCAAACACTATGACACACACACAAACACACACCAGGGGAGACAACTGTCTGGGGAAGTTGGTTTCTTCCTGTTATTACAGGAAATGCAGGCACACATGCTTCCTGACCCCTGTACAATGGCGGCACTGACCCATCACACTCCTTCTATGGGACATGTGATGGTAAATCTGCCCCCCTGTGTGTGTGTGTGTGTGTGTGTGTGCATGCCAAATCAGGATTATAGGACATCCAGGAGATTATTTAGTTGCATCAACTCCAAAATGTTTGTCTGTTTACAAATGACTGTATTGTGTTGAAAACCGCGGTGGTTTGTGTTTGTGTTTGTGTTTTGAATCGTCCTCCAGTTAGACAGATACTGCAGGTTAAAGTGTAACCTGCCATTGTTCATCTTAGCAGGAGGCTAATGCTAACCAATATTTTGCACAACGCCTAAAAAGTACCAAAGGCACTCCCATGAAATGTGGTCGAGGAATCAAGCATTTAAATCTGAGGATTGCTTGTGTGAGTCACAGCACTGGTGTGTTGACGAAGCACTGAAAATTTGAATAAAATCTTAGGTTCACCGATGCTGATTTTGATGGTTAGTACAGCTGTTTATATTCCCCTGGAAGATTGGTGTAAGTATCGGGCGACGCACTGAAGCCTTCAAAACTAATCAGTGCAGTGTTAATATTTCAGTGGACCGAGGTACTACGGCTTGATATTGTATTATTGTGTTTATGGTTATTCTGCTCTATGTACTTGACAAAACTGCAGGGCGAGCATAGATGTTGTTGTGATCACATGTTCTTTTTCCCCAAAGGTCACATTTACCAAGCGCAAGTTTGGTCTGATGAAGAAAGCCTATGAACTGAGTGTTTTGTGCGACTGTGAGATTGCCCTCATCATCTTTAACAGCACCAACAAGTTGTTCCAGTATGCCAGCACTGACATGGACAAAGTTCTGCTCAAGTACACCGAGTACAACGAACCCCACGAGAGCAGGACCAACTCTGACATAGTGGACGTGAGTACCAGATTTGTGTGCACAAGCATGTGTGTTTCTTCTGGTGACTGGTGATCTGCCTTACACACAGAAGGTCCTGGGTTCAAGCCCCAGAGGAACAACATACCTGGCGCCTCCGAGGGGCAGCCTGTTTCAGCAAATCTGCTATTAACACACAAATTTCCCCAGTGAATCAATCCAGTGCACATTATTATTAATTATTATTATTATTTTGTAGTGATTCAACCAATTTTACAATGCAGCCAGGAGTTCTGCAATATTTGTAAATGTTTGATGAAATGCAGCAAATACCCGTACTTGAAGACACTCCAGGGGGAGCACTTACGTGAGCTTCTAACTAATTTTTACACATGAACAGAACGACACATGGCGTCAAATCAATAACTTCACAGTCCATCATCTAATTTTTAGCACTAGCATTATTAAAATACTATCTCACTGAGCGCAGGACCGTCGGTAACTCTGCGACTTACTTCTGCTTTGCCTCTGCTCTGTGTGGACTGAAGCAAGGAGGGGCTCCACAATGCATCTGCATCCACTTTAGCCTGTGTACAAAACCTTTTCAGAGTCCACTGTTTTACTTCACAACACATTGACTGTTTTGCTGCAGTTTTTGTTTGTGTTCTTTTAAACATGTACATTTTGTTAACATTTATTTCCGCATGCTGTATTTAAACTAGTGCTAGATGGTCACCAGTGACATCACACATGGTACACTACCAGCAGCAAATGTGAAAGGAATTTTGGATTCAAATGGTTTAATAATAATAATAATAATAATAATAATTCATGTACAGGTTCTTTAAGCTGGCTTTCATTTTCTTACGTTGTGGCACTGTCCATTTCCATCTCTGTGCATTTGTTGTTATTCTGAGTGTGCATCACAGCAGGTCCACTTACTGTACCTCAAACAAAAGCAACAAAGGCTCTGACCCACAGAAACACAGTATCTTCCAGACAAGAATGTAGCAGCAGAGAGAGGCTCCTTTGTTATTTTTTGTCTTCCTATTTTCCCCTTTACTCATGTGGTGGTTGGCATGCATCCCTCTGTGTGTGTGTGTGTGTGTGTGTGTGTGTGTGTGTGTAGGCCAGTGTACAGAGCAGACAACCATCAGCAAATTGAATTGTGTTGAATTTTGCCTGGGAACTCTACTGCTATTTTTAAACAGTAAAAGTTCTGCATTCTTCAGTTTTACTCTCGCTGCCTTCACTTTATTAGCTTGACTCTGTGTGCATTTGTGATCCTTGTGTAGCTATACTTGTGCGGACATTTATTCCAAAAATATACTTCGCTGTCTTTGTGGGGAAATTTTGCAGTCCCCACTGTGTGAGTCTACGTTTTGAGCTTCGAGGTTTAGTTTTTAGGTCGTATCAGGATTGGAGGATGACATTAGAGTCCGATTGAGGAGTAAGATTAAGCGTACATTTGTAATTATTAGGTTTAGTATAAGGAGGTGGTAAAAGTATTATGGCTGTGAAGTGCTCACAAAAACACAAAAATCAGTCCGTGTGTGTGAGAGAGTGTGGTAACTGTGGCTTCAGGTTGTACAGATTAAAAACAGATGAGGTTTTCAATTCCGTTTAGCGGACACATGGGAATGTTACACACTCAAACACACAGCGTAGCTTGCCTGTGCTCACAGAAGAACTCCAGTTCCTTTGTGTTGGCTGTGTTCCCTCCCTGCTAAATCGCTGGAAAGCGGCAGTTGTCTAAAAATAGCCTAGAACACGGCTAAGAATAGCCATGACGGCCTCTGAGTGTGTGTGTCTGGGGTTGGCCTGCAAATGACTGAGTGTGTGTGTGTGTGTGTGTGTGTGTGTTAGCGCCGCAGGAAGAAAATGGGGGGAAAAAAAGGAGAAGCAACTTAAGGCTAAGTAACCAGTTCCTGGCTCCTGCTCCCTCGTTATTTTCTCCTGGACCAGTGTGTTTAGGCCACGTTTAAATCTGGTAATAAAATCAATCGTGGGACATTCAATCACAGCTTTAAGCATGTCTCTTCACATCTGGAATTAAAGTTTGTTCTGGATGCGTCTCCGGACACTGACATAATATGAGTGTTTTTCCACTAGTCACACTCTACAGATGTGTGTCACTGTTTGTGTGCTTATTTTTCATAATCAGAGAAGAGACACAGAAAGAGACAACTATTCTTAAATGAGGTCAAGAGGTCGATGGCACAGGTTCTCCAAATTTTTACAGCAGTACCACATCCACTAATACTTGGCTCTCCAAGTACCACCAGAAAGACAAACATTAAAATGCGGCAAACCAGGCCTCTTATTGAAAAAACAATGTATTTTGAGCCATTTAAATTGAGAGATACATGCTGTACTTAATTAATCATGTATTATATTTTAATTTAATCCTGCCTATTTATTTTTTCACAACACTGATATGCTTGCAGGAATTGAAGAAAGACTTACAGGAAGATCTTCAAGTGTTGTGACTCTCTTTTTTCATTTTTATAGCGATTTGCTGCCACCTAGTGGAAGCTTATTTATTGTTCTGTCTGACATTGTCACATAGACAAAGATACAGTATTTACACTCAATAATTTATAGTTTTCATTGGAAAATCTCTCATAACACACCTCGTACTTCTCAGTAAGAGTTACAGTATCATGTAGGATCTTATAGTCAATGTTATACTCTATACATATTCATATAACTGTACCAATGGTATTAGTTAACAAAACATTTGGTTCTTTATAACAAAAAAAACTTGTCCTGAAGGGCTAGAAACAGATTAATGTTAATTACCTTTTCTCTGTCTGTTTGACAGCTGAGAAAATGTTCCTTTTTTGTTTTGTTTAGCCTCCGTGCTAGTCACCTCTGCTGCTGCTACAACTTCATACTTCATACTGACTGGTGAACGTTTAGATGATTTATTTTATTTGTTGTTTTAAAACAAGCAGACCTTTAACCATTTTATTTGGCTCAGCGCAAACACAACCGTGCTGTCATTCTCCAACATGGTAAAAACATCCAGACTGGTGAAGACAAGTTGAGTTAGCACAGATTAGCCGTCTGTGGCTCATATGCTAATATGATGCTAATAGCTCTGACATCAGGGTTGTGAGGTAACTCAGTGTGGAAACTCCTCTTCATTTCAATGGTCAATCCATCAGCAAGAAAAAACATTATCAGCTGATAGAAATAACACATTAGCAATCTAGCAGAGCTAATATGTTTAAGTGTACTTTCCAGATTATAACTGAGGGATGAAAGGGACAAGAAATACACTGGAGAAAAACATACTTTTAAAGTCGTTCCCTCTATGGCAACACCAGCATTGGTTGTAGTTGCCTCTTCTTTCTACTGCCCCCTGCTCTCACCCCTCACACCCTACCATTTTTGTCTAAAGCAGAACAGGTGGGCATGACTGGAATGAGTGGAATAGCTGCATTAGGCTGGTCACTGGCAGAGTGGCTGTGCTTGGTGTGTACTGCAGTGTCCAGTGACTAATGGACTGTGAAGTGCTGAAGCAGGCCACCGAGAGCCAAACACACTCACTGCAGCACTTCACAAGTGTCCGCACACACACACACACGCATGCACATAAAGGAGGGTGAGTCAAAAAGTTCTATAACAGATGTCATAATTTAAAAATGTGTCGGATTTTTATAACTAAAACGTGTTATTACACATCCTTCAGGCCTGTGCAACGGCTTTGATGTGTTTTAGTGTCCAATCTGTGCGGAGATGCGTTATGTTTTATTGAATCGGGATTTTTTTTGATTAATCTGATTAAACCTCTTTTTTTTTTAACCAGAGTTGACTGAAAACTGAAAAACAAAAACATTTGAATGAACATGAGGTGACTTGTTAAATGAGTCATTGATGTAGATAGTGAGTGACCTGTTGTGAAAGACATGACTCAGATTTCTACGAAGGAGGAATCATGTGATGGAAACACTGCAAAAAAAAAAGAGGGTTTAAGTTTAAATGTGTAGAGCAATCGTTGTTTTTTTTATTTCCCTAAAAATTAAAAAAGAGCATTTTTAATTTAGTTTAAAAAAATTACAATGTAAGAAAACTGTAATTTTAATTTGTTGTGAAACTTTGTGAACCTCCCTTAAATCTCATGCATCAAGAAACACACAAATTCGTAATTCACACACAAACTACACGCTGAATATATTTTCATATCTATGCTTTAAATGCTTTAAGTCAGAGGTTTATTTCATTTGGAAAGAAGAGGACGCGCTGCAGGGTGACCTGCGTTCATATGGCACCCTCTTGTGGTTAAAATATACAACGCAACTTTTTAAAGACTACATTATTTGCATTTGGAGACATTTTGATGACATGCGTAGGACAATGTAATGCAACAACATAAACCAAAAATAAAGAGATGTACTAGACACTAGACAGTATGGGGCGCTGTTTGTAAAGCGTTTCATCCTGAAAATAACAGCAATATTTTTTACATTTAGCTCCAAACAATGTGGGAAAAAGTTTGAAAGTCACTTTTGAGCATATTTACAGCAATATTTAACTTCTTAATATACTAAAAAGTTGAAATAAAACTCAAATTTAGAGAATGTCTGGATTGTGATTTTCCAAACCAAAGAAATTAACCATGCTACCTTTTAAAATAGTAGCTAATAGCTGCTTGTATCACCCTTCATGTCACCTGACAACTCATTTCATCTGTTGCTCTTTTTTCTACCAGACACTGCGTAAGAAGGGATTAAATGGCTGCGACAGCCCCAACATCGAAGCAGATGACTCTGCTGGCCAGAGCCCAGAGTCGGATGACAAGTACCGCAAGATCAACGAAGACATCGACCTGATGATCAACAGACAGAGAATCTGTGTAAGTGTGTGTGGACTGGATCAGGACGCTGTTCTTCTCCTCGGTGCACAGGGTGGTCTTATTCATCATGTGAATGATCCCACAGGGTCTGCCTCCTTCAACCTATGACATGGAAGTGATCATTCCTGGGAGCAATGCCAGTGGTCTGCTCTACTCCCACACAGGCATAGGGGGCGCTCTCGGTAATCATAATCTGCTGCCCATCTCGCACACACACCCGTCTCTGCAGAGAAGCAACATGTCCCCTCAGCGGCCGTCGAGCACTGGTAATGGTGTGGAACAGCTGTAATATTCTAACTGTGTGATGTAAAACATGTGACAGTCTAAGAGAGAGAGTGTGTGTGTGTGTGTGTGTGTGTGTGTGTTCTCCTTATATTTAGGACTGATGGGTTCAGAGCTGCCAAGCACTGTTGGTAAGAATAAATCCTGAGCATATTGTATGTTAACATCCTTTATTTAATTTACCATTATTGTCGTTTTTTTAGATATCTGATTCTTAATTAACATTCAAAATGACACGTTTATCAGTTTTATTAGTAAAAAAAATCTATGTAACTTCACTTTTGTTTTTCACCAGTAAATGGCAGCTACAGTAACCACTGCACCTCCCCAGGCCTGCTGTCTCCAGCATGCATCTCCAAGAACATGCAGGAGAAGAGTCCGCCTCCTCCACCTCCTCCCCCAATGAGCATGAGCCGCAAGCCTGACCTCAGAAACCTGATGCCACAGTCTAATAAGTGCAATAACATGCCCTCTGTTGTGAGTGACCTTATCACCTTTCAAATATTTTTATGTCACTTTCTTTGATTACATAAAAAAATATATATCAGTAATACTTGCAGTGACTGCAATTCCTGTTCAAATGCTGCTCTCTAGTGTTGGCTCATAAAACGTAGCAACTGACCACTTTTTTATTCTGGGAAAGTTCTTTCAACGATTATGCAGAGTTCTCTTGCTTATGTCTTTTTTTTTTTAACAGCAAGTAAAATAAAAAAGCTTTCCAGTCAGTCTGAAATGGCCTGTGCTGATAGTATCTTGATAGTAACTGTAGTCAGGACTGACAGGAACCAGTTTGTTCCAGCTTCATCTATCCACTGTCCAGAGAAGTCCAGCCTGACATTGACCTTCATGGAAGAATTGCAGCTAGAAAGTCTTGCTGTGTGTCTGAAAACAAGACAGCGTTTTATACAAAATCATAGGAATGATATGTAATTATTCTTCTGAAGGAGAAGACAGTGTTTTCACTGCAGTGCTGAGCAGCAGTCAAACTGTGTCTGCATCATTTGTTTATATTTTAAAATGCAGAGCATAATCAAATTACTAAAACAAAATTTTATACAAGCAAGACAAAATCTCTATTGGTACACTTAGTGGAAAAAAATAATTTGTTATAACTCTGTAGTGTCTCAACGAACATCAGCTGAGGAGCAAACTTCAGTGTGTTTGCAGAACCAACTCCAATACTCTTGTAGAGCCCTTGCCAAAACAGTTCTGTAGTAAAAGGTTAAAGTTTTATTGAACTCAAGTGTCACTTGAGTTTTTATGGGAGAAGAACAAACAGGGTGTTAGTAAGTATACATCCACAATGCAAACTAAATGAAATATTTAACTTCAAAGAATCGGTTGATTTTAGTCATTACTGTGCACCTCAAGGTCTGTATTGTACAACACATCAATATTTTCTATCCAAACTTAAGTGAAGTGAAGTGGTAGTTCCTCACAGTCCATTGGACACTTGTGTCAGCTGTAAATTCATTTGCCTGACCTGAAGTTGAAGCCTCGACAAACACTGGTTGTTGAGATGGTATTTTGAACTACAGGTGCTCTGGTGAAACAAAAACATTTTCATTCATTCATACATTAATTGCTTATCCAAACATGTTTGCTTATGGTAGTTTCCTCCCCTTTTCTGTTTTTGGAAGTTTATTATTGTAAAAAAAAAAAAAAAAGTTCTTATCAGATGTGCTTTGTTGTTTTGTTTTTAGAACCAGAGAATAAATCACTCTCAAACTGCTCAGTCACTATCGACTCCTACGGTCTCCATTGCTGCCCAGACACTTTCTGGACAGGGGATGGGTGGGTATCCATCCACACTCACCTCCTCTTATGGCTCAGGTATGTGGTTCTGTGGCATAAAGGAATGAAACAAACTATCTATGATAGTTACTATGATAGATATTTTAAGAAGTGATATGAATATGTGTTTGTCAGAGTTTTCCTTGGGAACAGACCTGTCGTCCTTGTCAACCTTTGGAGGATCTGGACTCGGATCTGTTTCAAGTTGGCAACACCAACAGATGCAGAATCTGCAGCACCCAGCACTTGGTCATATTGGGTGAGCAGCTGTCTACAAACTCATATAGTTTTAAATGTTTTTTAAGTTGATTGTGAGTGTTACTCACAATTGTGTTACAATTGCACACTATAACATTGTAAAGATTGTCAGAATGTGTCCAGGTCACAGCAGTTCCTTAATGCCTGCAGGAAATAAGGGAAAAATGCAAACAACAGGGTTCCCATGCACACTGGAAAACCCAGGAAATAAGAAAAATCCCGAATTTTTTTTTATCTTCTCCTTGCCTTGTTAGCAAATGCAAACAGGTTAAAATTCATGCGCATGCATGTCGGTTGTCACCTTATCTTCTGGGCAACATTATGCCCGTTGCAGCACCCCACGTGATGGTACCATCCCATTGAATACACTCTCAGAGCAGTTCTGCAAAATTGTCAGTCATAGATTAAAATTAACATGCTATGTTAATAATTTATGGAAAAGTTTCGAAAATATAAATATCCCAAAAAATAATAAAAATGTATAAATTGGCCTTAAAATATGAGGCTACATCCTTACAAAATCCATTAATCAAAATCAACATATTATACATTTTTATGGTTAAGTTAAATAATATAATATTGATTTCCCGAAACAGTCTTTAAAATTAAGCTTCTCAAAAATGACTAAAAATACACTAATTTGCCTTAAAATACTTAGCTATGTCCATTTTTGTGGTTAAAATTCAGAAAAAATATACTTTTGTGGTACGTCATCTTTTGATCACAGTAAAATACTATACCAATAAATTCCCGAACAAATCTCAGAAAAAAGATTTTCTCAAAAATGACCAAAAAAACACTCATTTGCCTTAAATACTTAGCTATGCCCATTTTTTGTGGTTAAAATTCAGAAAAAATATACTTTTTTGGTACGCCAACTTTTGATCACAGTAAAACACTATACCAATAAGTTCCCGAACAAATCTCCAAAAAAAAAGTTTCTCCAAAATGACTAAAAATACACTCATTTGCCTAAAAATACTTAGGTATGTCCATTTTTGTGTTTAAAATGCAGAAAAAATATACTTTTTTGTTACGCCAACTTTTGATCACAGTAAAACACTATACCAATAAGTTCCCGAACAAATCTCCGAAAAAAAAAGTTTCTCAAAAATGACTAAAAATACACTAATTTGCCTTAAAATACTTAGCTATGTCCATTTTTGTGGTTAAAGTTCAGAAAAAATATACTTTTTTGTTACGCCAACTTTTGATCACAGTAAAACACTATACCAATAAGTTCCCGAACAAATCTCAGAAAAAAGATTTTCTCAAAAATGACCAAAAATACAC